AGAGTAGAGTAGAGTAGAGTAGAGTAGAGTAGAGTAGAGTAGAGTAGACAGAAGGAACCTTGGAGGTCTTTTAGTCCAACCCCCTGCTCAAGCAAGAAACCCTATAATATATCATTTCAGACAAATAGTTGTTCAATCTATTCTTAAAAACCTCCAGTGTTGGAGCATTCACAATTTCTGGAGGCAAGTTGTTCCACTGATTAATTGTTCTCTCAGGAAATTTCTCCTAAGTTCCATGTTGCTTTTCTCCTTTATTAGCTTCCATCCATTGCTTCTTGTCCTGCCCTCAGGTGCTTTGGAAAATAGCTTGACTTCCTCTTCTTTGTGGCAATCCCTGAGATATCAGAACACTGCTATCATGTCATTCCTCGTCCTTCTTTTCATTAAACTAGACATACCCAACTCCAGCAACCATTCTTTATATGTTTTAGCCTCTAGTCCCCTAATTATCTTTGTTGCTTGTGCTCTTTGTGATCTCTATACAATAACCAAACAAGTAAATTATAGTTGCAGATGGTCCTCAACTTATGACCAGTTGCTCAGTGACAGGTCGGAGTTATGATGTACCTGAAAAAGGAGGCTTATGACCTGGATCTGAAGATCTGACAGTCTCCTCCCCACCTGTGATCACATGACTGCACATCAGGCTCTTGGCAACATGGTCACATTTATAGCTATATGTAGCATCCTTTGACTGAGTTTTACAATGGTTTTGCCGAAAAGTGGCACTTCCAATTTTAGCAAAATTGCACTGAGTGAACAATGGGTTCACACTTACAACTGCCAGATTTGCTTAATAACTACTGCAAAAATTATTGTAAAATCATGTGACCCATTTTATGACTGTAATGATGTATGACTCTAATGGGAAGTCTCCATTACGATTGTATGTTGAGAACTTCTAATGTAGTTGACTGAAAAGTATTGTTTGCTTCCTTTTTCGTAGGAATAATAAAGGCATGATACAAATTAATTATAAATGAAAACTTCTTTCTTAAATTTGAGTAAGAAATTCTTATTACTTTAACAGTATATGCTACAATTTTATATTTAACCTTTAAAAAGATTCCATTGAATTTTTTATGGCTTCTGGAAAGGAGTTCTAACTTATTAGTATGAAATGTTCTCAAGAGATTTCATTCTGCAAAGTTTTGAGGAGATATTTTTATTGTTTGTTTGCTATATTATTATAGTGACCTATTTCCCAAGGAGGCATGTTGCATACAGTTAAAACATCCTCTTCTCATAGGTGTCAAAAGTAATCCATTGTAACAAAGTCCCATTACATTCAATAAGATTTATTCCCAAGTAAATCTTTGCTTAATTTAGTGAAGGGATTCTCAGACTGTGGGAGTCAAGAGTAACTTAGATACAGATTGCATTTTTAAAAAACTGATTGAGCTTGTAGAAGCAAAGTGGGAGAAATACCAAAACTTGCTCCTACTTTGCCTGTGCAAGCAGCCCCAGATCTTCAAGGCCAAAATGGGGAGAAAAGCACACAGCAGGTTTTGACAATAGTACTGCTTTGCCTGGATAAGTGATTTGCACAAACAAAGCAGGAATCTGTCAAAGTCTACTCCCATAATAGATGAGCAAACCTACGGCAGATTGCACAGACAAAACAGTGAGCAAAGCTTAACAGTGAGATGGATGAACCAGTGGGCCTAGATATCTGTCATAATCATCTACTGGTCACAGCAGTGATAGTGACTTCTAGTGTGGAATGCACTCTGAGTCTTTGGAGTGATTATTATAATGTGTATGTGTTAAAGAAGTTCAGAATTTTCCCCATCATTTAAAATTAATAGCCTTTCAAAACAGAAGTTTTTGAGGGATGCTAGGGAAAGAAGCCAAAGAATAATAACATTCAAGTCAAGGAATTATGTTGAAAGTTACTTGTGTTTTAGTAAATGGTATGTTATACCTTGCCCACTCTACCTTAACAGAAATCTTATGTTTTATTCATTCACAGAATGGAAAAGTTTACAAATCTCTGAGTTAGTCTGCTGCTGGATACAAATTTAAGAATGGTTTAAATTCTTTAATTCTTGAATGGCTGTTTGGGTGGGGGACAATTGTTCATAGTTAGCATTAGTATGTCAACTAGGAGCAAGAAATGCAAATTTATTCACCTTGAGGATATGGCAGATGTGAAAGCCCTTCCTATGTGTAGCAGATAATCAGTTCCTTTAATATTGAGCATGCTGAAATAATAAAAACTTACATTCTGTCAAAATAATAAAAATATACATTCCGTTATTCCGTCAATAAGTAAGGTGGTATAGTAGTTGGGAATTTAAGTAGCTTATGTCAGTGATTGTACACCACATGTACTGCTGGCTAATTTAATCACATTTCTTCAACAAAAGTTTATGGATTTGAATCACTCAGAGAACCATAAATGGGCCCCACAAACTGAGTTTGCATTCTATGCTAGGATTATATATAGTTAGCTGGTTTGTGGTTTGATATGTCATGTAAATATAGTCTATGTATTAAGGAAAATTTAGATTGTCTATATTGTGCTCTGTAATAACAGTCTTTTTCTTTGCTATATAAAATAAAGTAATTACTACCTCTAAAAACAAAATATTGTAGGAAAAGAGAAACTTTTGTTTTATGCTTATGATGGCAAGATATTAAATTTACTGTTGATATAATTAATACTTGGGAAGCATCAAAACACCTTGCTTAAGTGATACTAATTAGTGTTTATATAGCATACTTCATATTTTCAGAATGTTTCATTATTTTAATCTTTTAAAAATTAAATGCATTATTCTAATAGAGAGGCATTGTCTTCTGTGCTTCTGATCTGATTTTTCCTGTCAGCTTTGGAATCCTTATTCATCACTGCCAAATACAACATTATCACTGGACCTGGCCAAAGAATTTATTTATTTAAATGTTTTGATGACTGCCTAATCCTGTCAGAAAGGATAACAATAATAATAAAGCTCACAACAATAATAAAACCAGTAAAAATTGGAAAACCAAGAAAAAACAGGCCCCTGGTCCATCATCTTTGTTTATTCATCCATACAGTCACACTAACTTTCAATAATGCTTCCAAGATCTCATTTTCACTAGAGAACTATGTAAAATAATTAGCTATTTATTGTTTCTTTGGAATGGTGAGAAGAAGCATCAGTCTCCCTGAGAATAAACTGTCTCTGATACAAGATTTAGTTCTGGCAAAGCCTATTAGCAGTACATTCTAGAAAATGTGGTTAAAGCAATGGGGGAGGAGTTTATATTTGAAGAGAGTAGAAATCTTAGCTTCCCTAGCTTCCACAACCAAAGGTTCCTTAATAGCAATTCTCCATCAGAGGTGTACGTTGCTTCCTGAAGCAAGAGGACACTAAGCCCTGGTTTATTTATTTATGGGTTTATTTTTTATATGAATGTTAC